ATATATATATATATTCATTACATTTTTTTATTTATTAGAATATATTTTCTTCTTACTAGAATGTTTATTAATATATTTAATTAAAAATTCAAAATGACTTGTTAATATACAAAATAAATCTAAAAAGATTAAAAAATCCATAAAATGAGCTACTTTTGATTTTAGCTCTTATAAAAAAATTTCTTTATTTTTCATTCCTCTAACATTGAAACTATTGTTTTTAGTTCTTAGTATTATGTAATTATTGCTAATTAATTTGATTTTTATAATAGGATCATGTGACCATTCTATGTAACACCGACAACTATATTTAATACTGTGTTAATATGTTGTATCTCTAAAATAAATTCTAAATCCTCAAAAAATGTTATTTACTTTAAAATAAACATTAAAGACTAAAAATAATAATTTTAATTTAGAGAAATAAAAATTAAAGAAAAATATCTTATTGGAATCAAAACTAAAATTTACTAATTTTTTTAAAATGAAAAACAACAATTTAAAATTTTAAATAAATAAAAAATAATTTATAGTGATTAAAATCAAGATAAACTTATTTTACGGAAACTAAAAACATATTTAAATCATTTAAAAATATTTGTTTTCAACAAATTACAATGGTACTATTAATTTCTTAAAGTAGCTAATTGTGTATGCATGCATAACGTACGCATTCTGCTTGAACCATATGAGAGAATCCACGTTGAGGGAAGATTAATATGCACCAAATGAAAAAAAAAATCCAAAATAGAGAAGAAGAAAAACAAAACATTATTGTTGAGGAGGTAGCATTATATTATAACTTAAAGCATTTAAAGTTACCTTTAGACTCTTGGCGATGTAGTGGGAATAGGGCGCAAGTCATAGTCACGAAATCCTGGACCCACATTCTGGCGAATAAGCACAACGGGAACATGCTTGATAATTGAATAATGTTGCCCACCTTTTTCTGGATCAATGCTTTCTACTAATTCACTTGGCATATCAGCAAAACCCAGAAAGTTAAGGTTTTCCAAGTGTTTGAGATCACATGGTACCACCTTCATTTCAGGGTTATCTTTAAATCTAAAGTGTTCAAGACCAAGCAAAGCCCCTTGCTCAATGGACACAGAATTTAATCTGCTTAATCGAGTAAGATCCAGCTCCTTCAACTTTGGAAATCCTCCTATTTGAAAATGCAATCTTTCACCAACATAAGCATTGTCCCACATGTTCAGCCGCAACAGATTTGGCAAGTCTTTTAGTGAGTCTAGTGGATCTTGTTCCAAGTTTGATAAACCAAGCCTCAACTTCACAAGATACTCAAGTTTTGGAATCCACTCAGGCAACTTTGTGACTCTAGATTTTAAGTTCAACACACGAAGATGGGGTGGTGGCGATGCAAAATCCAAGTCAATGATTTCATCCTCAGCTATAGCACCAACATTGAGAGATTCAAGATGGTTCATCTCTCCTATTGCAGTTGATATGGCAGTTGCATATTCTGCTTTTACACGTCTTATGCCTAACTTCCTTAACTGTTTCAACATTTTGAGCTCTTGTATGAGGTCCAATCCACCATGATCAGCCTCCAAAAAGTAAAGCTTTTGTAAGGATTTCAAGCATCCAATACCCCTTTGCATTTTCACCCCAATTGTGAAATTCAACATAAAGTATTGCTCTTCATATTTTCTGTAGTAGACTGGAAGAAGTCTTAACTTTGTGAGGTTGTTTATCTCTCTCGGTAGCACATGCACATGGGTTTGTCTTAGATCCAAGGTTTCTAAGTTCAACAAGTTACCAATGGATCTAGGAAGAACCTCTACTTTTGTATGACTCAAGTTTAAGTACCTTAGGTGAAAAAGATTCCCCAAGTTGTTGGGAACATGATTCAACAAAGTACTTTCAAAATCAAGTACTTTCAAAAGCTTGAACTTGGCAGATAATTCACCCACAAAACTCTTGGGAAATATTTCACTTTTGTTAAAAACAAAAACAGCCCGAATGCCTGAGTTACTAGTCCTTCTTAATACATTGTTGGAACAAGTAGCTATAGAAAAGCGTCTAGTTATTCCAACAGTGTCTAGCTCATCATCTTCATGCATTAAGTGGCAAAAACTTAAATCCTTCATTTTTCTTATGATGACTTCACGTAATAAATCATGGACTTGACAACTTTTAACTTTACCATCAAAGCCAACTCTAGTGACTTGAACCAAGCTTCTGTGTATTAACTGTGTTAAGTACTCTTCAGCAACCTCCTCCATAGGCCTTCTCTCTTCATTTTTTATGAACCCTTCAGCCATCCATTGCCTTGTCAATCTCTTACGTTTGATGGTGTAGTCCTCCGGATACAAACCAAAATACAACATGCATGACTTCAAATTGTGAGGAAGATCATCATAACTAAGAGACAGAATCCTTGTTAAACTAGTCAAGTGTGCATTCCTCTCTAACTCCATTCTCAGATTCTGACACACCTTTCTCCACTCAAACATGGTTTTTACTTTTGTTGACAAAAGACCACCAATGGCAACAATTGCTAGTGGTAGCCCTCCACATTTTTTGACAATTTCCCTTGACATATTCTCAAGCTCACTTGGACATCGCTCACTAGTCTCAAATCTGAATGCCTTCTTGCAGAAAAGTTCCCATGCTTTTTCTTGAGGTAAATGTTTTAGTTGATGAACATGAACAAGAACTGATTTCTTAAAATACTCAGCAACGTGCAACATTCTAGTGGTGATTATGATTCTACCACCTTTGTCGTTATTAGGCAAGGCATGCTCAATCTCATCCCAAAAGTTTTCTTTCCACACATCATCAAACAATACCAAATACCTCTTTGACAGAAGGTATCGCCTCACTTCTGCAACTAAAGTGTTGTCATCCATCTTGTGTAGCCCTTTTGGAAGTGGCTCGTTGGCATCCTTGCATAATTTTTTTATCATATCTATTAGTAACTCCCTCACAGTGTATGATTGAGAAACTGTGACGAAAGAACGACAATGGAAGTGTCCTTTCACTTGTTGATTGTCAAAGACATGTTTGGCAAGAGTGGTTTTTCCGAGTCCTCCCATGCCTACCACGGAAATCAATGAGCGTTGGTTGGTTCCTTTTATTAAGCAATCAATCAATTCATCACATGGGGATTCGAATCCCACAACTTCAGTTTCTTCAATGAAATGGGAAGCCATTCGTGGGTCACCCCATTTGATCATATATTTTGCCCCTCTAGAGTTGCTTGAGGATGATGACCCGTCTTCAAGTGAAGATTGAAACTTGTACCTTGATACAAACACTTCTTGTAATTAGAAAATAAAATCTTAAAAGTTACAAAGATGATCAAGGATTGTGAAGTATCATACATTAAGGAGTACTATTATTCTTGTTTAAAGGATAATTTCTTCTTATGTATCCACTTTAGTGTGTTTATATATATTATTTTAATAATTGGGTATTTGTAATGGTCAGGGATTACTATATTACATTATAAACAGGGGATCAACACATTATTATTAAGAAAGCATTATTATTTAATAAGAAAGTGCACATATTCATGAACAAAGCATATATATAAATACAAAGTATTATTGGAGAATGTGTTGTTAAAAAAGAGGTAGAACTTTTTATGTGAACACACTAAATATCAAGTTATAAATATTTTTTTACCAAAATCTTGAAATTTCAAAATTTTAAAATCAAATTGTGTTCGTAAAATGATAACAAGACTTAGTGCACTTTTTTTATATATAAAAAAATTTAATTAAGAAAGATGTTAGAAATAATACCGATATTAAGAAGAGCAAGGAATAAATGTATCAGAACTTAAATTTAATTTTTATTATCGTCAATTTAATTTTTTCTATTTTTTTTTGTATAAATAAAAATCAAACTTGATATTAAGAAGTTATTACAATTCTTATATATATACTCTCCTCAACCAATTGAACTAAATCTTTTTGATAAGCTTTCCTACTCAAAAAAAAAAAAAAACACATAATACCGGTAACTAAAAATAAAATCTTAGAGTTACAAAGATGAAAAATGATAAATTACTATATACTCATTCAGGAGTATGATGCTTACTTAAAGAATATTAATTATTTCTTTTTATGAAACCAATAAATATTAGCCTTTCGAATTATGTTTATTTAATGTTTTAATTGAGCATTTATATAATAGTTATAAGTTAAAATAGACAACTAGCTCATAACATTAAGAATTGAATATATTTATTTTCTTAAATTTAAGGTAAATTTATTTTTGTTCTTTCAAATTTAAAATCAATTTTTTAATTATAAAATTTTAAAAATTCTTATTTTAATTTTTTGGGTCACCATAATATAATTGAAAGTGACAAATTATCATAATAGTTATGTAACATTAATATTAACTAAGTTTAACTAGATAATTTCTATTACACAAGAAATCTAGAAGATAAATTTTATGTGACATAACTAATAATCAAAAAAATTTATTGACAAATTTACTAACGATATTGAATATAAGATTTAAAATAAAAAAATTTAAAATTTAAATAAAAAAAATTGATTTTAAATTTAAAAGATTAAAACTAAATATTAATGTTAGAGTAATATGGTTCTTTAACATACCTTTCACTCCTTTCCTTGATTCCTCGAACTGATGACTTGATATCTTGAATCTCAGATGCAATCCGATGACGTGACTTGAAGGTTTTGATTGGGTGAGCAATCTTTAGGAGTGAGGCTTTGAATGGTGGATGAGGGTGTACATGTGCCACATCCATGATATATTTATCAATTACATCTTCGATACAAAAGGATACTTCTCTCAACTTCTTCACCCATGTTTTTACTCCTTCATTGGTGTCTCCTTCATCTCCAGCTCTTCTATCTGCATCCTTTAGGAAGGCTTTGATGCTCTCTAATTCATCTTTGATGTCTGCAAAATCATTTCTCAGCCCTTTCAACAATCTTCCTTCTTCTTTTACATGTTCGTACAGCTGTTGCAAAACAAATGAAACTGCACTTTCTGCCATTTCATTTCATTGTGTTGCCTTGCAATTTCTACAAATGTTTTGGTGTGTTTTGGGTACTATAGCTTTGTTCCATTTTTTTTTGGGGTATCATGTGCTGCTCTACTAATTTCAACTACTTAGAGTCTATGCTAAATTATTATTTTAATATGTATGAAGATCAAGTTGGAGTAAAAGAATATTAATTCATTGCTTGTTTATTTCAGAGTGCTTAGGTTTTCGTATTGTTTCACCAACCCACTTCATATAATGACATGATTCATTCATTAATTTAGACAGCCGCGACAACAAAGTCGTTATAACTATTAAACTTTAATGTTTTTGCATTTAAAATGCCAAATCCACGCCACCTAACACCTTGACTTCATTTATATGTTGTGACTTGTGAATGTAATTTGGGTAGTAAAAGATTAGGAACAGTGACAAAGGAAGGGGTGTGACCAGATTTTGAAGTTTAGTTAAATTATTATAAATGTTATACAGGAAGGCATTCGGAATGGCCGAAGACCTCCAAAGCACGTACGTGAAGGCCTTCGACTCTCGGCGCTAAGGCCATAACTTAGTGTTAATCTTTGACTCTCGGTATCTGAAAGTACAACCTAGTGTTAACCTTCAAGCTTCAATGCCTAGAGGTTCAAGCTAACTTGGCCTCTGACGGCTTTTTGACCCCACTAAATAAAAAAAATTAAAAATACACGAAATAAAAAAAAATTATTTATTAAAGTAGGTAATTTTTGCCACGTAAGAAGGCACGTGGCACACAAAGCGTATGGGGGTGGGCGTTTTTTAGAAAAAGCCTCCCCAGGCGCCTTATGTGGGTGATGTGGCAACTGAGTCACGTGGAAAAAAGAAAGAGCAGGAGGGGCAGGCGTTTTTCGGAAAGAGCCTCCCACCCGCCATCTTTTGTAAATGTTCTTATGTTGCAGGACCACGTTTGTAAAGAAAGAGCATGGGAGGAGGCTTCTTCTGTTACAACCAAGTTTGTGAAGAGAGAGCATGGGGGGAGGCTTCTTCTTTTGCAGCCAAGTTTATAACTTATGCATTTAGTATTTAAAATAAAAGGGATGATTATGTAATATACATATATAATAAAGTAAAAACAATAACAATAAATAAATATGATAATAATAAAATAATTTATATTTAAAGAAAAGTTATTTATGAATATTATATTATTTATTTTTTAGATAATGTATCTATAATAAATAAACGTACTAAAAATATTTATTATGTTCAAATTAAATTATGGACCTAATTAAGTGAGTATTATGAAAATATATGGTTAAGGGACATGTTACCTAATGGGTAATCTAGCATGAAGCCCATGAGATTGGAGACCCATAATGGTTAGTATAAATAATGATGCATATCGAGGTAAAACTATTGTTCATAATATATTTGCATTTATTATACCAAGTGAGTCACTAGAGCATTAGAGTGTCTTTTGTAGATATTCTCCTCGATATTATAAGGCGAGACCGGCTCTAGGAGGTGGATATCAAAGGTACTTAGAGAAGACGACAAAGGTATCTAAGACACATATATTTTGGCACCCACTGTGGGATCGATATTTAAGTCTTGAAGACCCCATCTTTGTGTTCCCAATGCCAAGTTCGAAGACAACATGGTTTCAACAAGAACGAACGTCATCTTAACCCAACAACTTGTCGTGGACTATTAAGAGAAGAAATGGTTGCAATGCACCAAATATATGAGAGAGACACATAGGAATTCTCAGTCCTTAGACGAGGGAATGTGACATTAAAAAGCCAAGACCCAACTTGGCATCCCTCAAGGTAGACTCACCTTGAGGCCTCCTCTCATTATACCCAAGCACCCTCCAAAACACCCTAGCCGAGTTCCTTACCTTTTGTGGCACCAAACTGACCCAACCCTATTGATTATACTATGTTGTTAGGCCACTTCACTAAAAGCTACAATTGAATCCTATCGGCATTTGTTCACACAAAGAATCATGGACACTCCCCTATTAGAAAATTGGAAAAGCCTCCCCTTGAAAAAGTATGATGGAACCATAAATCTGGAAGAGCACTTCGACATATATCTTACCCAAGTAACACTATCCACCCAAGAAAACACGGTGCTTTACTATATTTTCCCTACTTTTCTCAAAGGTAGAGCACTCAATTGGTTTACACTGCTAGTCGTTAGGTTGGTTGACTCATTATTTAACGACATGGCCTCCATTTTCACTATTTAGCTTGCCACGACCAAACCTTATCAAATAACTTCTATTGCTCTCACTAGCATCCAATAGGGAAAAAGAATCACTTCGATCCTTGATGGGCCGATTCAACAAAATTGCTATGGAGATCAAGAATCGAAACCCAGTATTTGCAATGGATCAATTGGTCACGATGTTGAGGGAATGACCATTTGTTGACAACTTATGAAAGAGGCCCCCTCATGATATAAACAAGCTAAGAACAAGAGAAGAAAAATATATGCAAATGGAAGAGCTAGTTGAAAACCATAGTAGAGTGAAGACTGAGGTGTACCAACAACCAAAGGAGTTGCCTGGCAAGGAAAAAGTCGTTAAACCTCCAAGTGTACCCCTTCGCAATCGTCACCTTCGCAACCTTAAGTATACAAATTATACCCCCTAAACATCAATAAAGCAAGAGCATTGGAGCAAGCCCTAACTTTGGAAGTACTAACAATGTTGAAATGAGCCAACACCCCACCTCAAGCAAAATCCTCAAAGTCATGCTAGTATCATAGAGACTAAGGGCATATGACAAAAGAATGGACAACACTCTGGGATAATATTGAAGACCTCATTAAGCAAGGTCACTTGAGAAATTGGGTTGGTCATTACCTTCCTGGCCATGCCCTAAAGTGATGCCAAGAAACTCGAGACTTTACTCGTTTGACCGAAGGCAGAGTCTAGTAAAGCTAAGGTGAGATGGTCGCATGACAGAAGTAGATCTCAGGAACATTGAGAACAATCTTAGGAATCTGCCCGAAATCACCCAAGAAGATTCATAAACATGACCTCCAGGGGAGAGGAGTATCCACGACCTCAGCTCATAAAAGATACCTTTATGCCATTAGATCAGTCAAAGTTGTAGAAGCGAGACAACTCCTTCAAATGCTTGCCATCACCTTTACTGATAGAAGCTTTAAGGGAATAGACCTAGTGCAAGATAATCTGATGATAATTAGTATGGAGATCAACAATATCTTCATCAAAAGAACCCTTATTGACTAGGGAAGCTTAGCTAATATTTTGTACCAAAAGACCTTCAAACAAATGGAAATCCTAAAACAAGAACTCATGTCGTATGATGAGCCCCTCGTCAATTTCTCTAGGGAGAGGGTAACTAGTCAAAGATGTATCGACCTATACACTCATTTCAACTATGATTAGGATGAGCGTAAAACGATCAAGGTCAGGTACACAGTGATCCATGCCAACACATCCTATAATATACATCTCGGACGGTCGTCCATCAATGCTCTAAGAGCAATTGTTTCAACACCTCACTCTGCAATGAAGTTCCCTTTAGGAATCAGAAACATCATAACGATCCATGCCGAACAAAAAACAACGAGGGAACATTACTTATCGGTTTGAAATTGAAACCCCTTGAAGAAAAGGAAGTGCCTATAGATGTTAATATGATCATACCCCTTTTGGATTCCTTTACTGGTTTACCTGACTTAAACCCAAGCTTGGAAAAAAAAAAAAAAAGAAAGGATGGAGTCAAACAAGAAGACCTTTCTGCTTCAGCTCAAAGACACAACATCACAAATAACCTTTCTTGGATCTTAGTTGAATCCTTCTAAACAAACTCTTGTAAGAAGTGTTGTCTAAAAAAATTGTGATTTGTTTGAATGGTCTGCAATTGACATGCTAGGTATTGTTCCCAGGTTCCATTGCCATCGGGTTGTCATATATTGAGTAGCAAAATTGATAGGAAAAAAAAGGGGAAAATGGGAGACGTAAGAAGGAAAATGATTGAGGCAAGGGTCAACAAGTTACTAAATGCCCACTTCACTCGTGAAATAATGTATACAACATGGCTAGTCAATGTGGTCATGGTGAAAAGGCCGAGTGGGAAGTGGAAAATGTGTATAAACTACATGGATTTAAACAAAGCATGTTTGAAGGATGTTGATGCTTATGCTCTCCCAAGGATTGATTGACTCATGGATGGGGCGACTGAACACCAATTGTTCAAATTTTTGGATGCCAATTCCAAGTTCAATCAAATAAAAATATATGCAAAAGATGAAAAGAAGACTACCTTCATAAATAATTCAACCAACTTTTTGTTACCAAGTCAAGCCATTCAGATTAAAGAAAAACAGGTGCCATATATTAATGCCTTATGGACAAGGTGTTCAAGAAACAAATTGGCTAAAGTATAGAGGTTTACATTGATGATATGGCCATTAAGTCGAGTAACATGGCCAAACATGTTGAAGACTTGGCCAAGAATTTTGTAGAGTTATGCAAGCACAATGTGTTTGAACCCAAAAAGTGCATCTTCGGTATTCGAGATTCATGCTCACCTTGAGGGGCATTCAAGCTAATCTAGACAAGTGTCAAGAAGTGACCAAGATGCATAGCCTAAGAATAGTCAAGGAGGTCTAGCATCTAGCGAGGCGGCTAGCCTTTTTAGCTTGTTTCCTCCATCAACTAATCGAGCGAATCAAGCAAACGATGGGCCTACTCAAAAAGGAAAAATATATTTTTAAAAGATATTAAATTATCATATTATCCTTAATTTAAATTTAATAAAAAAAAAGTGTTAAGCCAAAAGACAATCTTAAATCCATCAAACTTTCACATTTTAATGATAACAAACAGAAAGTTTTTCTAAGAGAAAATGTTTTCGTTAAATGTTCATCAAACAAAACATAAGATGGAATTCATTAGCAAAATGATGTTTCATTAGGCAAAACATACAATCTATCTTTATAAAGTCTTATATGCCTATCATTTATGATGACTAACGACAATTTTTTGTATGTTTGAATGATTCCTTAACAAATCAAACTAAGAAAGCTCTTTGGAACTCCGAATCTTCTAAAGATAATGGAGACATGCTTTGCACCAGAACCAAGGACAAACGAATCCCTAAAATCATGGAGAAAGTCAGCAAAAGTTGATGCAGAACCTAATTCTCGTAGACACACGCTATAGATAGTTTGTTTGGTATCCTAAAGATGATAAGTAACATTTTTGATCAGATAAGAAGTGACAATTTGATAAAATGCATTTAATGAAAATATTCAATGCATCAATGCATACTTCTTACCTCAAAGAACTTGTAACGAAGACAGACAAAGAAAGTTTGTGAGGAACACTCAAGATTTTGTAATGGTCATCTTCATTCGGGTTACTATATAAGAAGTTTCACGATCAAAAAGAAACAAGAACCTTTTTGTAAGAGATTGCACAAAACATATTAAAATTCTTTCATTCTTTTTATAAAGCTCCTTGTGCTTAAATTCATTGTATCACGTCTAGCTTGCAAGATAAAACAACTTTTATAACCTTATCATTATATAGTGTTGTTATAGGGTCGAGCTTGAAGAGGCATATCTGAAAAAGAATACTTGTTGTTTGAGTCTGCAAAGACTCGTTCGTAAAAGAGTATTCAATGTTGAAGCCTAGAGAGACTTTGTGTGAAAAGAATATTTGAGTAGTTTCTTGAAGAAGCAAGTCAAAAAACACTTAGGTTTAAACCAAAAATGACTTGTTGAAAGAATACTTGTATCTTGATTAAGATAGTAGAACTCAATTGGATTGGATTGAGAATTGGATGTTTCGATGGTTGAGACGAACCAATATAACAATATCGTGTGTTACATCTATCTTCTCTTCAACACTCTTTATTGTTAGCATACTCCAACTAAAAAATTAGTGAGTATGTTAGCAGAAGGGATCAAATGACATCAGTATAATTTTCATCAATTATTACATCATTCAATAACTTTTAATTAAATAATTATTTTACAAAACTTACCTTAAGATTGAAAGTTCCTTACTCCTAGATTAAATATACAAAAATTTATATTAATTCAAGATGATTTGATATCTCATTTATATAGATCAAAGTTGTTGTAATATATATATTTCAAAATATACTAAAATATGAACACTTCGATTATCTTAAAAAAAATTAATAAAATTTCGCGTAAACATACAAGATAAATTTGAAATTATCATTTAATAATTAAATCAATAAAATTTACATATAATTAATCTAAATCATTAAACGGTATAATAATCGACAAAATTTACATTTAATTCGCCCTTATGTAATGATATTTTGGAATTTGTTTTTTCCGTTCAGGTCCTAGTTATGATGTTGTCGAGGAAAACTAAGCTTCAAAAGTAAAAGAACAGGAACGTGCCCACATCAGTGGTTCATATGACTTCTATTTTTCTTGGTCATTTTTTAAACTTATTTCTTTAATCAAGCCCGTGATTTTAGAGTGCTTCTAACATGAAGTAGTTGAGCACATGCCTCATATATGAGGCAGTAAAATGACCAACAATAGCAAGTTTTTGAACTTGTTTATATTTGCAAAATAATCCTTATATTATATGCGGAGACACAGTGGATGCGCGGTGGTGGCGGAGGCACGGTGGTAGCGGAGGTGCCGTCTCCTTCCATGGGGGTGGTAGTAGAGGTGTGACCTCCTTCGCGCGGTGGCAGCCGAGGCGCAGCCTCCTTCGGGCGATGGCAGCAAAAGCGCGACTTCGTTCGTGTAGTGGCAGCGGAGGTGCCGTCTCCTTCCACGGTGGTGGCAGTGAAGGCGTGACCTTCTTCGCGCCTGGCTCGCCCTTGATGGCCTTGCCGTCTCACTCGCCGTCGTCGTTTTCCTTGTCTTCACCACTAACGCCGTCTTCACTCCTCTCTACAACATCGCCATCGGCTTCCTCTTCGGCCTCCCCATGCCCGTCCAGCCCATGAAGTCCATCGCCGCTGTTGCCATCTCCGCCTCTCACCATCCCCCAAATCTCCACCACAGGCCTCTTCGTCGCCGCCGTCCTCCTCCTCCTCGGCACCACCCGCCTCATCGCTACCTCCCCTTCCCCGTTGTCCGCGGCGTTCAACTCTCCCAAGGCTTCTCCTTCGCCTTCTCCGTCGTCAACTACATCCGCTACGACCAAAACGTCGCCACCTCCAAATCTGGCCCTCCTCGTCCCTAGCTCACCCACGACAGCCTCGATGTCGCGCTCGCTGCCGTCGTCTTCCACGTCCTCACCACCAGTGCTGATGACCACCCCCCACCCTCACCACCACAAGAAAACCAAAACAGGGACTAATATGCAAAATACAAAAGTTTTCTTTTCTAAATTACAAGTAACAAATTTGAACCGTCGATTATTATATTATTAAATTTAATAGTTAAAAATAGTGCTTCATCCATGTACCACATTTTTATACTGCTTCCTGTTAGAATTTTCAATGATTTTAGGTAGATTTTACGCATTTGACAAGTAAACAAATCATTGTAATTAGTAAATTGTATAAAGTTTGAATTCACATAAGTTTATGCAACAATTGTTTAATTTAATTTTAATATTAAAAATTAATTTAAAGAATAGTTACTTTTTGTGTGTAGATTCACTCAAAACGACCAATTAATTGCTTTAAGTGACTTTTAAAGAAAAGATTAGCACAAAGTATTCAGTTGACTGACTTTGAGCAATGGTGAGTTGATTTTTGAGACTTTTATAGCTTTAAGTTTTCTTATCCATATGTCGCATCTTAAAAGAAATTATTAAAACTGTCTAGTATTATACAATTTCATTTTATAAGATAAAATAAACTTTAACTACTTATTTATAATAAAACATAATGAAGATAAGATATATTTAATAATTTTCTAATTAAATTAAAAAATATTTATATATTTAACAATATTAGTAAACATTATTTTTTTATATTAAAGATGTTTCTTATTCTATAAGTCAAGAACTTTACATGATTCGAGTCAAAAAGTTATTTTGTAATGTGAATTTGATTTTGTATATATTGTTGCTGCAGTTTTTTGTTTTTTGTTTTTTTGCTGAATGTATATTGTTTCTGCTAACTCGTTGAAATATGACAGACATGAATAATAAAGAAAATAAAAAACACCAAGGCAATTAATATTTATAGTTTTGTATAGAACATTATATTTGTTATAAAGTATTTGTTTATAACAAGAGTTAATCTACTGGATACGGTCCCAGTAGTTAAAGAATTTGCTCATAATTTTTTAATCATTTAGAAATATTAATACAAAAACTAAAATCTTACGAAACTATGTTTTTTTTCTTTTAAGGAATGATAAAAAAAGGAGTCAAAGTTTGTATGCAAAATCCTTTATCATGTTAACATAATTTAATTGTCAAAGTTTTATTTCAATAATATATCAATTAATATTTTATTTAGAATATAAAAGATTAATTTCTTATAATATAATTAGTAATATTTGTTTACCATTAAAATAAGGACATTTTTTTTAAAAAAACATAATGAAGTATTGGAACAAGTAAAAATATATTAAAGTATTTTTAGTTTATACTGTGTACTTTTATAAATTCCTTATATAGGAATATGTAAAATACTACGCGAAAAACATTTATAATAATACATAGTGTGGTACACAATACAATTTGCCTGTTACATTTTTTTAATTTTATAATATCAATTATTAATTTTATTATGTATCATAATTTTTATTACATAATTAGTACAATTATAATATGCTTTTTACATATAGTATGACACTCAAATATAACACACACACACATTTATTATATATATATATATATATTATCATAATAATTTCTATTTAAAATATATATCATGATAGTAGAAAATGTTATATATAATATATTCTTTTTTACTGTTAAAAGGTAATTACACCGCAGAGATAAAAATAACCCTTAAAATGCTAAGACTAATATCTCTAATATGGGCTATACTTGTCTTATAATCGGCTACTGAATTTGCCGCACGAATAACCTGAGTAATATTAACGATCCAAGGTTTTTGCAAAAACATTTTACCATAACCGATCAAAGCAGAATAAGGTTGATCCATAGGAGTTCCTTTATTTAACAATGAAATTACTTTTAACGAAGCAGATTCAATCCAAATAAGTCCAACATCCAAACTCCAAGCTTGCTCCAAAGTTCTGATAATACCCCAAATCTCTATGACCATAATGTGCAAGCACCCAGCTTCTTGTAGAAACCAGAAATCCATATGCCACTATCATCTCTAAGAACACTTCAACAACTTGCTTGCATGCCCCCAACTCACACCAAACAATCAACATTAAATTTAGTCCAACTCGAAAGAGGAAAATGCCAAAATAACCCTCAAATCTCCACCGTCCGGGTTCTATGACAATCAATTCCCATTGCAGATCCAACCTCTAAATAGGTGAACTTAGCTTTATCCACCACATGGTCATGATGCCTAATCCATAAAAAATTATCTCATTTCTAACATTCCAAATGGCCCAAAGCATGATCCCAAACAGGGAACTCCAGGATGAGGATTTATAACTAATGTTTCTAATGCTCTACATAGAATATCTTCTATCATCTTTGTATGATAATATCAGTAACAATATTATTTAACAGTTCCCCAAAAGTAATTTGCAATTTGCTTTATTTTAGGTTCTTAAAATTCCATAGAACAATAGCATAACAATAAATTTCAGTATGTTACTCTAATATGTTAAAAAAAAAAAAATTATGCAAGGCATTGCACGTACACAAAAAAGCACAAACCCCACGATACCTAAATACATAATATAAAATTTATCCTCCAATGTCAGTATATAAAGCATATATAACAGATGATCCACATAAGTTTCGATAGTTAAGAGATACTAAATATCCAAGTATATTTTATTCTAACAACATCATGGTGGTACAAGAACAAACTTCCTTCAGAAGTGAAAAAGTTGGTAGCATCAGAAAAGAAAGCTTCACATCCAAAGAAGGGGAAGGAAAACCCAAGGCTCCAAAAGCAACAATTGACCCAAAGTGCTTAAAACACCAACAAAAAGATGTGTCAGGGCCTGAAGCCAACACTAGGGCAAATGTTGAAAAACTGGGAGAAAAAAAACTTGAGCTAAGGAACTCAGGTTACATCCTCCCAGATGATCATAATGAGCCAAGGGAGAGCTTCCCCAGTCATTTTGGAAAAAGTGAAAAGGTCCACATTTATCGGTGTCACCGACTTAGATTACAACACCAACTTTATCTACATAGTATGCTTGTGTTTCTCCTTCACTGATCCCTTCTCACAAATAATATATGTGAATTGAGATGATGCCGAAGAAGATTATTCTTCAAGGTTGTGTTTGAGTCATTATCTGATTCTGTGTTAAGCCGTATCTGTATTCAAAACTAAACATCAGTTGTCACACGACAAGTATGCATTGTATATATCAAGTACACCATGCACTATATTCTGATCGCAAAAAACTAATGGTGTAACATCCATGGGATCAAAACTTGAAGAAAATACTTGTAATATAGACCAGTCATCATTCTTTTAGTTCAGCCTATTAAACTCCATTCACTTTGCTGCATGGTCCCTACTCCCTAGACCCTACCAATGCTTGCCATTTACCTAGGAACACCATCATTGTTTGATTGTGCTTTTGTCCTTTTAGTTTTTAAAACTATTTTGTAGAAAAAATTTCAAAAACTAATTTTTAGATAATATGAGTAGAGGAAAAAGTTGAAACAGTGCAATGAAAAACATAAGCAACAGAAAACTGAAAATAGAAAACCAAAACAATTTAAAAACTGAAAAAGACTACTTTTGAAAAGTTTTCAAAAACTATTCTTATCAAACGAGTTTTTTTTTTTCTTCTTATTTTTAAAAACAGAACAATTTTCAGGAATAGGAAACGCAAAGGACATTAGAAGTTCCAAGCCACTCTTTGCCAATAGTTACTAGACATTTATTTTTGCTAACTACATGATGTACACTCATTATTTTCTTTTATTTTTCTTCTTGGAATTGACAAGTGTTTAATATTTGATGTTATACAAATTTTATGATTTGGATTGTGTTCATGTCTTTTTCTCATAAAATAGGTAGCAAAAGCAAAAATACAGTTTCACAGGACAAACCTTATATTTTTTTAGTAATGATGCCAACAATGAGGCAACAAGTTGGATGATATATTTCTGTCCAATGCAAGCACGTGTACCAGATCCAAAAGGAAGAAATGCAGCATTTTCATTTGGATCATTCAGTACAAAACCTGCACTGGAGAAGTCTTCAAGTTCTTCTTCAGCAGAACCTGTGAGAGTTCAATATCAAGATCAGTAATAGATGAGCAACAGAATCTTCTCCCCTACCACCTACAGAAAACATAACAGAATATCTCTGATGATGAAGACATACTAGCCCCACTAGTCAATTGTCATCCACATTAGACAAATCTTTTTGTTCTTCTCAACATGACCTACAGAAAATATATCAGGGGCCTCCACCCATATGATCCAGGGGTGAATGCTTTCAAAATAACACTGATTTTGTCCAAGATCCTCAACTAAAAATGATCTATTTCAGGTGCATTACAATTGATACCTTAACAAGGCCTGAAGTCTGGTACAGTACCAACAACGTGGTTTGGTTTTGTTCCAATCCCTTGAGGAGCATTGGAAAGTGGTCAAAAAAATACTAAAGTATCTCAAAGGGACAACTTATCATCGTCTATTGCTCCAGCCTACAGCCAACTTTTCAAAACTTTCTTTACGGGTCTTTGTGATGCAGGTTGAGCCACAGACCCTAAAGATATTGATAGACAACGACAATCAACCCCTAGATCCAGTATCTATTATGGACCTAATCTCATCATAGCTTCTAACAACTATATGTACCAGATCCTAAGAAGGTTTAGTCAATTTTCATTGTTTTTTTTGTTACAGCATATTTAGGAAAATCCAATTTTCTCATTCTCTCTGTATTTTTGTTTCTCTTTTCATTTTTTTCCTTTGTTTTATCCCTGATTCTTGACTATTCATATACAAAACCAATTTTTGAAGTATCAAGACTCATACCTGATCCCTTTGTACCAGTGGAGAGAAATCGGTAAGGATTAAAATCACTTGCATCACTCCCCCAACTGGAGTCATCCTTCTGTATCAATTCGACGGGTGCAACGAGTACAGCTCCAGCAGGTATGGTTACACCAGTTGCAAAGCTCAAGTCTGACGTAAGGATGAATATTAATGAATACAAATAATAGCAGGAGTATAGATAGAAATTTTTGAAGGCAATCCTAAATTAGATTTTAAGCCATTAAGAATAACTATAAAAAATAATTATTCCAAATCATGATGTACATCACACTGGTATTGCGTTAAATTACTACAACCCTCGTCTTATACTAGCCCTATTAGATGAATTGTAAGAACTAGAATATTCAAATTTAATATTCGTATTTTAAAATCATGCATAAAACTACCAAGTATAAAACCTATTATGCTATTGTAGAGATGGGATACTAGCTCCTAACTGTTACCACAATGTTAATGCTTAACCGATCAATGAAAAAAAAAATCATGTGTATATAATGCACACGACACAACTAAACAGAACTTGCAAAGGTTCCAAATCAGTTAGCTTTTTTCTACACAAGAAACCCTTCCTTAAGTCGCTATGCTTGCTTAAGAATATCTCACCATGTTTCAAAGAACACCTCTGCAGCATGGGACCAGTGGGAAGAAGGCGTGCTGACTCGTAAATTGTAGCCAATAACAAAGGCATCCTATAAACATCTTCATGCTCATATTTTGACGGGTTTCTTCCTACCATGCTAATCTCCGAATAAACCTGCAAAAGCATACAAAATAAGCAACCAGCTGCCTTGTAAACATCAAGCAGTCAGTCTATTAGAAAAAATAATAAACTATTTGGTATTGAAAATCATAGAGTGTAAACCCATGATTGAGCATACAAATGAAATCCTATACTAACAAATATGGTTTTTCTTCGAAAGATACTAGAATAACAGTTTGTTATTGTGTTGACAATAAATTTCAACTCATAAACGGAAGTGAGAAAATGTAACTTATGCCATGGCAAAAGCAGACACATATAGCAGGCAGAGCTACTGACAAATATTGAATAAGAGGTAAAGTACAACACACATTCCCTAACAAAGAATGTCCATGTCCATTCTAAAGGGTCGGAAAATTTCAAATTATTTAAACAAAATCACCTTAACTAGTACTTCTCTCATCAGGCAGATTGTAAAACCAAGGTGTACTCCTGGTTTTAACTTTGTACAAAACCAGATTCATCAAATATAGGGAATCATTTAAGAAGATTTGTTATAGGAATTACACTCTTGGTTTTGACTTTTGAGCATTGGAAAACAAACTAAAATAAAAGGATGCAAATAAAATGCAATTACAAATTGGACACAATAAATAGATTTAAACCTTATCCTGTATTTCCAGATGAATGACAAGCCTAGTCAATACATTGGTGATTAAAGCAGATGTAGTTTGACATCCATGAAACACCATACGCAAGACGTTTCCACTAGGTTCTTCTTTACCATTTTGATGATCCTTAAGGTCACGAAAGAAATAGTAATCTTGAAACCCATCATCAGAACAACATTGTGCACCATGTGCTGACTTCATTTCTTTGTTGGAACTTTCATTATGTACATCTTGGTCAGTATGGCCAAATAATTTGCAACCTTTTCTGCAATGTTGAAGGATATCTTCAGTTAAGCATTTTAATTTTCTGCATAAGCTTTGATACCTCCAAAATCCAAGTCTCCAAAAAGGAGTAACATTAAAGGAGGCCCAAAAGCAAGCATCTTTAGCAATCATCATAAACAGTTCCTCATATATTGCAGCCTTTGGTGAGGCTAAGAAACCATCTCCAAAGAACGTAGCTCCCATTATTGTGAAAGCCAAATGCTGAGAAACCAATCTAGAATCAATACCTCCTTTGGTTCTGATGTTTTCTATTTTATCTGTGATGAAGTCTGCAACTTTCATAGGAATCAGATCATCATTCTTCAACAATCTTTCATTTAATTCATTTGCCAATAACTCCCTTCTCTTTTGCACCTAAAGACAATTTAAATTAAATTCCAAGCTGCTGTAGTCAGAATGAGAACATGATACATAAAAACAACAGGACCTGTAATTTCTGCAGACAGTACTTGAGATGCGTAATAAAAATACATAAACAAAAGAGTAGTTTGATCAGTACTAAGAATGTCTCAAAAGTCAAAAAGAAAGAACCTAAGCATGTCACCTTTTCAAAGGACGGGGCAAAGAGACTTGATTGCCCAAAGGCAAGATGAAACACTTTTCCAGTAAAAGGCAACTTATCCTCAGCCTTTATAAGCATCTGTTGAATTAGTGCTGGATCCCTAACTGAGACCAAAAGCTTAGTAGGACCTAACCAAAGCTTAACAATAGGTCCATACTTTTGATGAGATTCTGACAACACATCTGGAAATCAAAAGGCCAAGTATATAATTAGTTTAAAATTTTACAACCAGCCAGCCATAATATTATTCATTACTCAGAACCAAAAAAAAAAAAAAAAACACTACGACACATGCAAAACAGTGAAAGAACCTAGCTTTGACATTACTGCAAAATTCCTTTAATAGCCATTCTAGAATAATACCCCACCTTGTGCAAAAAGAAAGAAACCAATATTAACACCATTCTTTGTACCCTCATCTCACATTTTTACTTCATCAATGGCCTCCTATTAACAAATGGTGATCTGATATCGAAGGAACATAAAGCAAGTTTTCTCTTTCCGTGTACAACTCCAAAACAGCCCATCCACTCAACCAATCAGAAACCAAAAAGGCACGAATTTCACCAAACCCTTTTAATCCACAACAAATTCCCAATAGAAGATAACAGCAAACTGACATCCACACTCAAACAAATCATAAACCACTATGACACATGACCTCAAATCACGATAATAAGACCCAATAACACACAAACTCCATATTAACACACTAAACCCAAAATTCACATCACTAGAACTCAAAAAACTTATTCTTTCCGATAACAACTGAAAAACAGATCACAGACCAGCATAACACAAGACCCCATCACCCAATAACTTGCAAAATCCAGATTAATACGCTAAACCCCAAATCCACTTCACTAGAATCAAAAAAGAAAAAAAAAAAACTGATTATTTCTGATAATAACTAGAAATACAAGTATCCACGAGGCAATAGGGACGAAAACGAAAAACACAAGGAAATCATCATGAAGTCCCCATGTCACGAGACAGAACACAGACCAGCACATCACAAGACCCCATATCACCACAACACCCAATAACTTGCAAAATCCAAAAAACAGTTTTTTTTCCTCATAAAAACTACAAATTCAACTAATCCACGGGACAAAAAGGGATAAATTAAAAAAAAAAAAAAACAACAACAACAACAACAATCCTCCACCGTTTGTCCTAGGTCCTCAGCCGACAAGGTAATAAACTGAACATGGATCAGTGACTCGCGAAAGAAAGATAGAAATGATGAGGATTGACGAAAAACTGACCAGTAAAGGTGGAATTTTGGCGGGAAAAGAGGTTGCGGTGGCCGAAGAAAGAGGGAGAGGGAGGCCCGGGAATGGTTTTGGCCCTGTGCCACAAGCCAAAGATGGTGAAGAATCTCTTGAGCAAAAGGGTGGTGGCAGCAACGAGAGAGAGCCAGAGAAAAGCATTGAGCTCTCGCGTGGCGAAGTCCCTGAGAAGCTGAGAGGGAGAGTGGACGCAAGAAGAGGAGGAGGACCTGCCTCTGGCGTGAAGAAAGTGAAGAAGAGACAACAAGGGTGTGGGGAGAGAAGAGATTGTGTCGTTCATTTTGTGGAACCAATGGGAGAGAGAGAGAGAGAGAAAGAGTGGGGATTGGGGGGTTACGAATAAGAACAATGTTGGTGATGGTGTTCGTTCTGACTTTCTATTCGGACCACGTTGTCGTTGTTGGACTTGGGCTTGTCGGTTTGTGGGGGGTGAAGCTGAACTCCAGAGACGTCGTCTCGGTTATCGGTTGATGTGATTGTGATGGATACGCAATTCGGATAAGAATTTCAAATATCAAATAATTAAACTATTACATTACAAAAAAAAATTATATACATTTTTTATTTTTATAATTTTATGAATTTTGTCTTTTTAATATTTATAACTAAATTTTATTTCAAATAAATATACGTATTTTTAATTATTATAATTTTGTAAAATTTTACCTCTTAATTTCTTATACAATAGAAAAGAAAACTGAATTATGAAATAAGATGAAGATTAAAAAGAAAGAAAAATTATGCATAAGAGCTAAAATTAAACGTTTTTAATTATAAAGAATAAAGACTAATTTCATTAAACTAAAAAGATTAAAAGAATATTTCAACTAAAAAATTATAATTGTAAGTATAGTTTCTTTTAGTTCAGTTGATTCATTTAAAAGTAAAGTAATATCTTTAGTTACAATTTTATGATTAATTGGTAGATTAAATTTAGTGTTTGGTTAAGGAACACAAATCACATGTATAAATAATTTTTTATTTATTACATCAAATTAAGATAATGTTATTCTAGTATAGCTGATAATTTTAAGTATTAAATATATAATTATAAGCTTATATATGTTTTTAGTCTCTATAAAATGAATAAGTTTCAATTTTAGTTATTGTAAACAAAAATTCTTTATAAAATGAATACTATTATAAGATTATTCTAACTATTTGTTTGTTTATTAAAAAATTAAGTGAATATCTTAGGTATTACTCACAATTGTAAGTAATATGTCACTCTAAATTTTTTTATAGGTTCTTAAAATAAATATTATGTATCTATCTCAAAATGATTATCGGACCAAAAATAATGAATTTAGATTTTAAAAGGATGAAAGTCAAAAGAAAAAAAATAATTTTTAGGGAGCAAAATCAAAATTTACTAATTTTAAAAGGACCAAAAACAATATTTACAAATTTTAGAAGAATGAAAAATAAATTAATAAATTTTAGAGACCAAACTAAAAAATTGTTCATGTTATAAGCACTAAAACACATTTAAGCCACAATTATATCATCGTCATCATCATCATCATCATCATTTTTGGAATATAATCAAATTTCCATATTGTTAGAACATAAGGATAGACATAGGTTTATATATACATACAAAGTCTCCATTAATAAGAAACCTTCTGGATGATGACCAAAATCAAAATTATGAGGATTTAAGCCCAATGACTATGATGGAGCTGACACATAAATTCAAGCATTGGACTTCTTGATGGAAATCTAATCCCCAAGGATCCCTTTGAAAGAGGTAAGACCAAGAAGGATGAAAGTTGATCCATAGGAAGGCTCACACTTGAAGACCATTGAGCCTTTAACTAGGTTCATGGTTAGGAGGCTAGAGGAGGCTTCTACAGAGGAGGTACTTCTTAGACTTATGCTCAATATGAGTATTGAGTATGATTCCTCTTTTTAGTCTCATAGTCTCTATTGTACATACATTGTATAGTTTGAGTTCTTGTACCTTGTATATAGTAGATCTTGTATAGGTGTATTTTGCCTTTGTATTTGTAAGACACCTTTTCCTTTTCTTATAAGTCATCCCTTTAGGATTTTAGGGTATATTACTTGGAGACTTTTGCTCTATTTGACCTTGTATTAAGGGTTATTGATTTTTATATTTTTAGTAGTAGAAGTGGGGTGACAAATAGTAAGGTGTGTAGGTGTAACTAGTAATTGGGCCAGAGGTGAGCCTAGGCTAAATTTTACATATTAGTCTTGTTTTCCTCCATTTTTTTTCCAAGAAATTGATTTAGCTAGGTCTCACCATATTTTGGTGAACCTAGCTAAAGCAATTCCAAGATTTTTGGATTGGACTAAGTGAAGGAAATCACCCTTGGCCGCCTAGCTCATCTCCTTGGCCGAAATTGCTTGGCTTCTCTACACACTTGGATAGCTTGTGCTACAAGCTTCTAACTTAGCTTGCTCCCCAAGCTTCTAAGTTGGAAGCTTGTTCCACAAGCCTCCTAGATAACTAGATCGGTTAGCTTGATTGCAAAATGACTAACCATGTTTTTATTTGAACCATAGTTAGTCTAGCTTGCACCACAAGCTACTCCCTCACTATGTAAGCCTTTTCCCTCACTTTGTAAACAATTTTGATGCATATCTTAAGAGAATTCCGAAAATTGTTTAGATTTTCTCTCTTCCAAAAGTCTCAACCTCTTTGATTTTAATCCATTTCTCTTATCCTCTTCATACAAGAGTGTGGTGAAATTTAAAATGGCTAATCTTCCTCCAAGGAGTGGCACCACTTGAGAGTGTTCTTCACCATTAATTGGTGAAATCCGAAGCTTCATCCACCATTGGAGGCTTTGGAGAAGCTTAAGGAGAACCAAGAAGCCAAAGGTCTAGGGAGAAGCTTGAAGAGGAATCAACATCAATCCGGTTCCAAAGCAAGTTTCCATCATTTGGTATCAAAAGCTAGGTCTCCTTAGTAAATTCCTTCTTAAGCTTTTATTTCAATTTTGTTCGGACAAAACATGTAATATTGTGTCTAAAATTGTTTCCACTTGTTTGTTCCTTTATTGTCTTGTGTATTGTGTGCCTTGAATTGTTCTTGTGTCACAACTATAAATCTATAGAACAATTCACTATGTCTTGATTGTTTTGATTCATACACCACTTCTTGTGAATCAATCTTTGTGTGTGCCTTTAGGTATTCTCTATATGTGATTTTTAATGTTTTAGGTTTGATTTAATCTTTTCTTGGACTCCTAATAATTCGGTCAAAAGAAAGAAACTCCTTAAAGAAACTAGACTAGAAAACATTTTTCATTTCTTAATCTCCTAGTTTTGTCTTAGAGTCATGTGTAGTTGCTTTACTTGTCATTAAATCACTTTTGTGCCTTTTTTATTTTTGAATCTAAATAGATTTTTCTATATTTTATTGTGATATCATTGTTGGCTGGACACGTATTAATTCTAGATGTGCTTAATTATTGAATGATTCCTATGCATGTTATTAGACCTGACATGTTTTAGAGTCAATTTTTGTGAACTTCAATTGCTAATTGTTTCTTAGCAATCTAAGACCAGCAATTCCTTGTGTCTTTGTGTGCTTATTTTGAAAAACAAAACAGAGTAAGAAGTGTATCAAAAATGAAAATTAAAGGTGTACAAAAAGAAGAACAAACTAGTACCAAAACTAGTAACTATTGTGATTGAATTTTGACTTGTACACTTACACTTCTTACTCTTTTTTTCTCCACCACTTGGAAACCTCTTTTATAATTGTTTGACCTATGTTTAAGTGCTCATATTCAGTATAAAAAAAAAAGCCAAGAAGGCAATAAAAGAAAAAGAAACAAAAGAACAAAAGCTAGAAAAACAAAGTGAGGAAAACAAACAAGTTTAGAGCACTCGACCTTTGAATTTTTTGTGTAATTTTATTTGAGGTTTACTTGTTTTCTAGTGGTTGGAAAAACATTTCTAAATACTCAAAATAATAGCACAAATTTTGTTTTGATTTTGAAATCAACTCTAGAGCCATTCCTATGATTATTCCTTTGGTGCTAGTGTTGAATTAACTTTTAATTGTTGCTTTGTGTCTTTCTTGGCTCTCTTTGAGTTTGTCATAATAATTCCTATTAGATTTTAGCCTCTTCTAATTATGAATTTTTAGTTTTTATTTTATTGGACTCCACATTCTCTTGATGGTTGTTAAGTCTTGGTGAAACTAGTCCACTTTCAAGCCATTACACTTGGAAATGAGTGGATAATTGAGACATAATGGATTCATCTCAAAGAGGCCACAACTTGAGGGAGATTGAGGTAATAAAATCCTTGAGTGAAACATATTGGAAAGGCTCACTTGTTTTCTCATTTTGCAGCTACGAAAATTTTTGTTTTAGGTTGCATATTTAGAGATAGACTTAGAGACAAATTTCAGCAAAACTGATTCTGGTACCAGTTGAGACAGAATTAGCGACCAACTTAGCGACGGATTTCTGAGAGCACTATTCTAGTAAGGGAAAACAGCACCTTAGAGGCAGAATTTAGAGACGGATTTGCGATGAATAGTACCAGGGCCTCCAAATCATCACAATGCTGTCTCAAAATTTGGTCACTAATTTTTTGTGAAAATTTTCAATTCCTTTGTATTGGATTTCATTCTTTTTCTTGTAAATCATTAACCCTGTCCTTGGGTTAATTTCTTTATTTTCTTTGTTAAATCAAACTCACATTTATGAATGGTTGTGTGGGAAATTCTTTTGCTTAAATCCACCACTTCCTAAATATTTTTAAATAAAGACTATTAAATTGGTTAGTACTTGTGGAAGTGTCCCCAAAAGGATTCAAGTGTCATTTGGGCTTCCACTAGGATTCGACTAGTTTATTTGCTTTCATAGAACGTTTAATACTTGTGGAAGTGGTCTAAAGGGTTTTAAGTGTCACTTGGACTTCCACCCTAGGAAAATCGACTAGTATATGCTTTACTTGCTTTCTTAATTGCTTTCATTCGTTAGTTTACTTTCTAATTGTAATTAGGGACGTTTCCAAAGTTCGTTTAGAAGGCTTCCTTACTTACTAGGGGTTTCGTGCACACACACGCTATTACTTAATTTGCCTTATGTGAAAAATTTATTTGTGAGACAAGTATAAGGGGTTTTAGTAATTTCCACTTGAAAAGGCTTGGTTATTAAGTGGCTCTTTTGTAGCTCACCTCCCTTGATAGTGCAACTTGTATACTTAGACCTCAAAGTACTTAGTCTTGCACTAAAAAGAGAAAACTTTTTTGTGAAAACTTTTATCACTCAATTTCGCAATTAATTAGAAAATTTTTGAAAACCTTTCTCCGCAAAAATAAGTGATCATTCTCATGAAAATAGTGTGCATAGTCATCATACTCCTAGAAGTCATAGGAGTACTAAAATTGAATTTAGGGAACTTAAAAA